TCCAATACAGGGTGACATCCAGCGGTCTGTGTGATTGCTAATATGGGAGATGCTCACTTAGATCATAAATTCAATTCCAGGGCAACACCTACCACCCGAGGAAGACAAGGTGCTCTGGAAACAATGCAATTTACTCATGCATGGGTTGTACCTATTGTTACACTGTTACTAAAGAAAGGGTTCAAATTCTCACCTTGTGTACAACTGCGCCATCTCAGTGAAGTCTCTGGTATAACTGGCGTAACTCCATACAGTTGCTGTAACTGAGCTGTCTCGTGATAACAGCGATTAATCCACAGGACAGGAAAAACGGAAAGCAAAATTTCTGACTCTGCCAACAGTCAGTTTATTGGCTTCTATTTTCCAAAGCATGCCATGGGTGAGGTATAGGAAAACGCATCCACAGTCAGCCCACCGTGCCTCCAAGCCCAGCAGAACATGCTTCAGTAGTTCTCATTTGCTTCTTAAAATGCCTGCAAGCCCAGCAGTTTATGAAGCAAAAAAAAAAAAAAAAAAAAAAAAAAAGAGGGATTTCTGGGGACCACTCTTAACACTCCTGTATCTCCAGCTCAATAGCTGTATTCAACCCGTTCTGCTCTCTGCTCAGTCCCAATTGCAATGAACTAGCTCACTGCTCAGTCCCAATTACAATGAAAGTATTTAATTTCCTCTTTGATTTCCCTTCAACAACAGATTGCAACTTGTGACACTTCAAGTAATTTTGGTAGCTCATTTAACACACACTGAAACCTGAATATCTGCTGATTATGTTCCCAAGCTCTGGCTCATTGCAATAAAGGATGGAGAAAGGAGATGCAATCTCTGGAGATTGAGAACCTGAACATGATTAGTGCTGGCTAAAAACTTGTTTTGTCCCAGTAGTCTTGGGGTACAGCTAGAATCTTTCATGAATGATTAATGAACTATAGGTAGATCAATGAAACTCTGCCCTAAATGTATCTGTAACCAACTCAGGTGGGGTTTGAAGAACTCTAACCAACCAGTATCCTGTAATTTGTAACTCTTGATGTAGTGAAACGGAGTAATTCATCTCATTTACTGTGGCTGGTTTCTCTAGCCCAAGTACCTGAGTCACCTAAGTGATTGGTTTGGTTTTTTTTTTTCCCTTCCCTGCTTCCTACTCAGCATTAAAGTTATTATGTGGTGGGTTGACCTCCAATATCCATGTTCACATTGAGGAGGACCTTTTTCCATCAGTAACCCCACTGATTCCAAGAACTGAAAATTCAGGATTATACTCATTACTGGTGAATACACTCATCATTTATCAAGAGAAGGTTAAACTTCCCATAAAGCACTTTTTAGTGTCAAGTCTTGGAGATCTTTACATTCTGTTAGCAATATCAAATTCCAAAATTATTTTTTTCCCTGATTTCTATAACCAGCATAGCCACTTACTTCCAGGAATAATAAAGACTGTAGAACATATTCTCATCTTTCTTGATGGATGATAAGTTGGCCTCAGTAAAGTTGTTAACGATGTAAAATAAAATGCAAATTAAATAGCACAATCAAAATCAAGCTATTAAAAAAATAGTCATGCAGGCAGTATATACTAAGTACCACCCTTTTGCTTACATTGTTACATAGATTATACCAGCATATTAGAAACATAATAAATCACAGAAAGCTGTTTCTATAGCCAGGAGTTTTCTCAAACTATGGGTCATGACCCTCCATGGGGATTCATGAATGAGTTTGAATGGGGTCACAAAAAAAATGTTAGCAAGAAGCAAGGGCAGATATTTTGTCCTAAATTGAGCAACCCAGTCGTCTAGCATGAGAACAAGAGAGCAGACTGTAATTAGTGGCTGCAAGTATTTACACTTGCTAGGGAACTAACTACCTTTAATTACAACAGCTTACTTTCTCCAGGAGAGGGGAGCAATATAGGCTAGAATTAAAATTGCCTGATAGTTGCTAACTGCCTTTCATTGCAGGCAATAGATCTGTTTCTCCAGGGAGGAAGAATAAACTTGCAACTGGATCTTATTCCCCCATCATTTAGAAATGGGGCCATTACCAACTCAGGGGGTCACACAAATATGCAGTCAAACACGGTTGTATTTTCAAATGGTGTAAGAAAGAAATCAATAGTCTCATTTACAGAACGTGCAACCACCAAGCAAAGAGTGAGGTGCCCCGTGCAATCTGCACTGCATCCTGGTGAAGAAGGACATTTATTTAAGGACTTAAAATGAGAAACTAATTGGAAAAGTAGAATGATCTCACTGAAAAGAACTTGTACATTTCTCTCTGATGCCCTGCTTGTCATCTGAACTCACTTTCTTGCCCAGAAGGGAAAGCTGTCAGCAACTGGATGTACCAAGATGGAAACTGAAGATTGGCACCTGAGGTTGCAGTCCAACACCACACAGCTTGGCTTGGTTAGCACACCAAATGGGCCAAGACAAGTCCTCTCCTCTTCCTTCCTAAGGGCAGCTTTCATTGAGGCTGGAATAGAAAGTATCCAGCTCTTCCTCCTCTCTCAAAATTAGGGATTTTAGGGAAATACAAGAGTGATACACACCCCACATCCCCATGGTAGGAGCTTTTAGTGTCACCAAAGTCCACATTTGCTTTCTTGATATCTCTGTAAGGTCCATGACACCTGTGGCTACAGAGCAGCCTGTTTCCTTCAGTGCCTTCTGGCTACTGCCTCCATGACGTACTTTGCTCTGGGGGTGCTCTGCAGCTCCCCAGAAAGGAGTGAGAGAGATGTCAGGTGAAAGTGATCTCGCTGGTGGACATGTGCTTATCTTGACAGCAAGGGTCTCTGCTGTACGGTGCCTCCACAGTCCTGTTCCCATTCCCACACCACACCCTGAGATGTGACTCACTCTCCCTGGAGAAGCAGCTCAGAAAAGAGATCCAGGTAACAAATAACCTGGGGAAAAAGAAAGGGGAAAAAAAAAAAAAAAGGAAAAGTGTTATTTTTCAGCTGGATCACTTTTTCTACCTGTTGCATTGCACAACCACGTGAGCACCTGTGGTGGCCTGAGCCAAGAGTGGAAAACATTCTAAGTGGCTTAAACACTTCCACATAGTGGCTGCTTGTGAGGGAAAGACCAACCCTGGCTGCTGGCATGAAAAAGTGCTCTACTAGTCAGAGGAGGCTCCTGAGTTTTGCAGGCAAAGATGTAACACAACGCAGGCCTCAGCGTTGAAGCAGGGCAACTTGAAACTCAAAATGGACATAGTTTCAGGCTAGTGAGGGTGATTAGGCATGGGAGAAGATGAGCTTGCATTCGTCTGGCACATTAAAGAAGAGATTAACCCGTAAGACATTCTTAAACCTAAGGTTTGGGTCTCTCCTGTATTGGTGTGCAAGAAATGAGATGAAAAGTGTTATAATGCACCCCATGCAGAGGAGAGGGTACAAATGGTGTCAAACCACTGGACTAGACAGTTGGCTTCCCCCCTTAAATCCTGCCCTGTACCCACTGGCCTCAATGGCATTGTATCCAAAGAGCATGCAAATAGGATGACTTAAAAATACCATGTTTGTGCCATGGGCACACTCCCACTGAGCTGCTGGGACCTTCCCAACCTTCCCACAGGCTCTCTGCCCACTACAGAAAGTCAACACTAAGGAAAAACCTTCCTGTGAACCATGGCACCTTGTCTTCTGACAATTTGGAGTGTGATACATGGCAAACTACCTTCCCCAGAGAACCCAGGAGGCACAAATTATTCCAGAAAGTTCCCCGAGCAGAAATACGGCTTCCAAAATCAAGTAGCAACTCTTGCCAAAGCATTTCTTGACTCCTGTCAGATCTACAGGGATCTACTCAGGGGATCTTTTCACACCTTCCTGTGAAATGCTTTGTAACTGCAATTGCAAGTCAGGTTTTATCAAGTTTTTCTTTGTAGCCTGTCAGCAGCTTTTTGACTAGCCAGAAGGGTTACCTCCATGCTCTCCAGCGCTGAGCGGGATGCCTGCAAGCTGTGCATCTTGTATAGGAATAGGGGTGCAGTTCCCAGCAGCCTGAGAAGCCAGGGAGAATGATTTCAAAACGTATTTACTGGTAACTGCAAAGAGAAAACCGATATTTAAATCTCTGCCCCTTGACTCCATGCTGCTTAGCTTTGTGTCACTTCTGCGCCAGGTGAGGCACAGACTGGACAGGTATGGCTGGCAAGGGGATGTTCTGGGCAGCTCCAAGTAGAATGGAGGCTTTAAAGTAGATTTTCAAAACATTATGGATTTCATCTTTGCTTAGCATCTGGTTATTGTGCCGAAGCCATGAATCACACCACTTGAAGTGATTGAAGGAGGGGAAAGAATAATAATAATAAAGTGGCAAACTAGCTCAGGGATAGGCTTGGGACTCCTATTAAACTTGAGAGGCTACAATTTCTATTCCCAGACCTGCTGGTTAACACAAGAACAAGCACCATACCCCATCCAAAGAGTTGTACTAGGCAAAAACTGAGGAGCAAACCAGCAACAGGTCAATCCTGTACTGTGTAGTCAAAAGTTGCCAGCAGATTAACATGGCAGCGCTCATGAAAAGTCTGCAGCAGCTCTGGCAAGCTTTGCAAAATTTATAATTATAGCTACGGGCTTCATCGCAAAAGGAACCAAATATGTGATGTTTGTTTCTGTGGAAGAATGGGAGGAGACTAATGGTAAAGGAGAGGGAGTGGGAGTGCGGAAGCGGGGAGAGGGGAAGGCAGAGAACTGAGCCCTGCCGAGTTTTCAGGGACCGCAGAAAAAAATCATCTAAATAGAGTAGTTCAGACCTCAAATACTGTGCGGTGCTTTGACAATCTTCTGGTTTATGGTGTACTTAACAAAGTGTTCTTACATTTACTAGGCTGGAATGTCCATTTGACTATAGACTCTGCTACTTTGCTCGTACTTTAACATTTTGGACACGTGACAAAAATGTGTGTAACGCATTTTTTAAAGTGTTGATTGTGCTCGTAATTTTCAAGTCAGAATATAAAATAAACATCTCTGCCCTTTCTTCCAGCAGGCAGCACAGAGATCTGCTCTCCGCGTTCTATCTGACAGGTACATTTTGTCATTTTTATGAACTATAAATTGCTTTATGAAACGTTGAGCCCTATTTATTGTGGCATATAACTCATAATCGGATTTTGTCCCCAAAGTATCTGTGAACTGGGATGTTAAACATTTTGCATGCTTGGATTTGTCATGCATGTGTAGAGTTTATTACTGCAAAAAATCACAGTCTTGTTGTATTTCATACAGAGTATGCAGAATCCCTTGTTGTGATACCAAACGAGAGATAAGAAACTTACTGGAGAAGGCATGAATGATGCAGTAAATTCTGAGCTTTAGAGTTTGCTGAGATATATCTGAGCTCATTTTTCAGCAATAAGTACTTCATTTATTCCGAGATGTTCTCTTTTGACTTTTTCCAAATCCTTTCCCTGGGAATTACTCTTCTTTTGATGAGATTCTCTGTATGTTTTATGCACAAAAACAATGCCCTTTTTTACCCCTTAAATTTTGAAAGATTGGTATTTTGGAGGAATTTAATTCATTTTTTCACTCCTGGAACTGAAGCAGTGCTCCAGGCAGATAAGCAGGGGACCAAATCCTTAGACAGTGTTCAGATTTTACTCAGCTCTTTTTCAAGCAAAAATCCATTAACTTCAATGGGAAACTTGCCCGAGTGAGGAATTCAGGATTTGGGCCATAGTAAATGTTATAGTTGGGCCGTAGGTCTGCACAGGTATTTACCTTAAATGACTTTTATGAAAGAGGATTGATTGAAATATAAGGTAGCTTTCTAAGACGGTCCTGATTTCTTTTCCAGTTTTGGGAACGGGGGGAGGGAAGGGGGAGGAGAGACTGTACATTTTAGTGCCTGTGAAAAAGAACTAGCAGATTTACATTTATCCACAAATGAGGTACTGTGTCATGCAGGCTGACACAGAGTAAATTTCCCCATGCCTTGTTGGCAGCCCCCTCTGCTCTGTCTGGCCCCCCGCCCCCCGCCTCCCTGGGAATAAGCGGTAATTGACTCTGGAAGCCAGCTCAGGCCAGGATTTCTCCAGAGCAGAGCCTGTCACTTAGGCTGAATTATATGTTGTGCATGGATGAATAACATTTCTCTCTGCTTGGAGGCTAAGACCGCCAAAATTATCGACCTTCCCCCCCCCCCCCCCCCCCCCATTACTTGTGTCCCAGAAA